GTAACTGTATAATGGAATAACATAAGTTTATCAAAGGTTTTATAATTAGACCATTCGAAAAATTTTATAAGATCTGTTTCTATTAATAATTTTAATCAATTCCAGTTCTCTGCATTTTACAGAATAACTGTGTCGTCTGAAAAACTTACAATATTTCCATTTGTATTTAAACGACAAATTATTTAAAATAAAATTAAACAAGATAGGACCAATGTCAGTCTCAAGATATAATTTGTAAATCTAGAATCTTTAAGAAATCTGAAAATTGTTTACTTGCAATTAATTTATAAATCTAAATTGAACAATAATTTATTCATTTTAACAACCACATGAATACCTTAAAATTGCATAAAAGAATTGTTTAAATAAAAGTATGTATACCCTATATATACCCATGAGACTACGCACAGTTGATCGCAGACGCACATACCATGTTTGTTTACAAATTTAAAACAAAACTTTAAAAAATCTTTAATGTGGTTGAAAATTGAGAGAACAAAATACTTGCTTATGAAATGTAGATTATTCTTTTCTACTTTTAGATGTGCTGCTATATCCACAAGACGAACAACAATTGTCTTGTTTGTCTTTTAACGCGGAAAATTTAAAATTAACAATAATACGAAATAAATACACTAAATACTTTTTAAAAATGTCTACAAAACATGCGCGTTTTATAAAAGTTTAAATTAACACATAAAACATCCAAATTATTAACAAATTTTAATCACTAAAATTATAAACCAATTTTAGAAACCATTTATCATATATGATGATGAGTCATCCATAATACAACATGGCTACCACTTCCGTCAGATCGATGAGATTAACGCGAACATGTTCCTTCCTGACTATAAAAAGTCTATTTTTATGTATGAGAGAGTATTAAAATAATAAAGCGTTCGTAATCCATAGGCGTACCACTTCTTTTAGTAGACAGTTAAAATATTTTTTGAAGTTATTCCTCGAGTATACACTTATATTTTCACCTAATTAACCTGCTTATAACTTCTAAACAGCTGACGGTAAAAAGGTGCAATTTTTTCTAAAATGTTTTATTTTTCCATAAGGTATATTAAGAACATTGTGTCAAACGGCTTATGTAGGTATAAGGGTTTAAACTTTGACTTTTAAACAACGTTACGTTCATAAATAATAATTTTAATACAAAAACTACTTCTTACCTACAAATCCAAATCAGAATCGAAATCAGAAGATGAACTGTCGCAACCAATATTTACGATGAGTGGCTCGATCATTTTATCAGTAATATTGTCCAACTTCCACATTTTCTCTTCTTCTTTAATCGTATGATTTACTGCCTTTTCCCAGTTTTCAGGCTTCACATTATTTACAGCCTCCAAAAACAACTGTTTAACATCACTCATTTTAAAAGAATTATTTTTCTTGAAACTTCTCCCTTTATCTGTGCCCATATCAGTTCAATCGGGTTTACTTCGAAATGATATGGTGGTGATCTAACCACCGTCATCCCACGATTTTTTGCAATTTCATCAATTTCATATTTTTTGAATTTCTCTTTATGAAGGGAACACAAATGATACAGTTCTTTTCTCATAGAACCGGGATGGAACTTAATATTCTTTGAACTTCTGTAAATCTTTTTTTAACCACTCGGTTGTGGGCATTTTTTCTATAAGTCTCGAGTGATAACTTGCATTATCCATTACTATTATACAATTCTGAGGAAGAAGATCTATAATTTGTTCGAACCACTCTTTAAAGACATCAGCATTCATGTCCTCATGGTAGTCACCGATACGAGTAGATTCAAAAGTCAATAAACCACATTTAACAAAACCGTTTGAACTACCGATGTGTACTATTATTAGTCTGCGCCCCTTTCCTGATGGTGGATTTAAACCAGTAGATAAATTATTTTAAAAAGCCTCTCTTCGACTTGTAACTGTTTCATCTTGCCAAAATTTATTTGGTTTATGTCCCTCGTTGATCCATGTTTCATCTAAATAAAATATATTTCTTCTTTGGTTTCTCATTTCTTTTATAGTCCTTAGGTAATTTCTTCTCCATACTACAATATCGCTTCTTTCTATTAAAATAGACTTTCTGGAATGCTTTTTCCATAGAAAACCTATTTCTTTTAAAAGTTTCCATAGTGTGCTTCGACTCATTTCAGGGTAATCCTTATCATATCGAACCGTGGCAAGAACTTTGTCTACTGTCGGAAATTCTTTTCTAAAGAAGAACGCCATGCACTTCCCTTCGAAGTCTTTCTTTCAAAAGATTTTCTAATTGAAATTTTGGTTTTCGTGGAGCTTTACGTGCTGTTTGAAACTCGCCACATTTATCTTCTTTAACAACTCTGTAAATCGTAGATTTCCCAACACCAAGCGTACTACTAACTAATTCCACTGTGTCATCAACACTTTTACATAAATGTTTGTCTGTAAATGATTTAAAACAATTAAATATTAATGTTTTTTCATTAACTGTTAAAGGACCGATTTTTTGTCGTTTACGCGACCCTTCCAAATTTTTCATGATCACACTAGAATTCACACTGCACCTTGCAAGTTGCAACTAAACGACATTTAGTAAACTGTCAAGAATACACAACTTGGACCTCCTTACTAAATGGAAAACCTATAATCGCATTTTCGGTGAAATTTGTTGGGAAGGTATTTATCTACTTATAATTCGATTACTGTAAGAAATTCTTGGAATTAAAATAAAACAAAATTGGCAAATAGGTACTTATTGAAAATAATCTTAAGATACGGCTATGTAATCTTTAATACACAGGGCTTTTGGCCTGTCCAAACCTTTTTCTATTGTTGTGTACAGCTTATGTTTATAAAGGACCAATAAAAGACCCAAAACTTGTAATAGCTCAGGTACATTTATTACAATTTTAGGAAATATTTACACCCGTATGCATAGCGATTCGCCAGAGATTCATTCCGGCGTTCCGCTGGCGAAAGCCTAAAAAGGTGGCGACCCGCTGGCGATTGTCACCGGCATGTCATTTCTCGCAAGTTTTCATGTTCTTTTATAAGGATTATCACCGGCATCTGTCGCATTTTATTATTGATTCATTTCTTAAAACTCTAAAAACAATGAACGAATATCAAATTTTTCCCTATAAAAGAACATGAAAACTTGCGCGAAATGACATGTCGGTGACAATCTCCAGCGAGTCGCCACCTCTTCGGGCTTTCGCCGGCGGATCGCTGGCGATGCGCCGAAATTAATCTCTGGCGAGTCGCTGGCGATTGACTATGCATACGGCTGTTACATTATTCTGTAAAAATATTTAAAATGACCGTACTAAGTTCTGCATTAGAAATGCTGTTTTATTACTCTCTCATACATAAAAATAGAATATATATATGTTCTAAGATTCTAAGGGATAAACAAACGCTCGAGATGTAAAAAATGCATCCGATGTGGATATTCAAACGCGGCCTTAATTGTATTTATATTCCTACGGGCAGAGCTGTCACCTATCAGTGAGATTTAAATCATTATTTGATTTAAATACCTTTTTTGATTTAAATACTTTGATTTTAAATCTTTTTTAAAAAAATGATTTTTGATTTATGATTTAAATCTTTTTGAAAAGTATCTTTGATTTTTTATTTAAAAATTAGATTTAAATCTTTTTAAAACGATTTAAATCTTTATAAAACGATTTAAATCTTTATAAAACGATTTAAATCTTTTTAAAACGATTTAAATCTTTTTAAAACGATTTAAATCTTTTAAAACGATTTAAATCTTTTTAAAACGATTTAAATCTTTTTAAAACGATTTAAATCTTTTTATTGATTTAAATCTTTCTGAAATAATTTAAATCTGTAAAATTATTTAAATTTTCTTAAAGATTTAAATCTTTTTTAAGATTTAAATCTTTTTAAAACAATTTACATCACCTGATTCGTCAAAATCGTTATCAACCTGTCTATTCCTGAATAATAATCTAGCCAGCATGTCAGTAGGGTTGAATCAGAAATCCGAGAGAAAAGAAAAACAAAAAATAGTAAAGTGTAATAAATAATTGCAATGACTAAAGATTATTCTTAAATATGAAATTTTACAAAATTTCTGACCCGATATTTTTTTTTTGTAAAGTTGTATTTCTTACACCGCAAGCAGCTGAAAATACTTTTTCATTATCGATATAATCCTGAAACTCTTTACATATGTATTTTAAATTTTTGCACACTTTTATTTCGAAAAGATTTAAATCTTTTCTAAAATGATTTAAATCTTTCCTAAAATGATTTAAATCTTTCGAAAAGATTTAAATCTAAAAAAGATTTTTGATTTAAATCTTTCTTTTTAAAAAATAGATCTTTGATTTAAATCATTCGTTCAAATGCAAACGATTTATGATCTTTGATTTAAATCGTTTTTAAAATGATCTTAAACAGCTCTGCCTATGGGTAGCCAGTTTATTTGGAATGTCTAATTTTAAAAAGCCAATAACGTTTAATTTAAATGAATATTTTTAAATTTGACACCTAAAACATTAGTCCAGTCGGTGCTACTACGAATAGAAATAGAATTAATGTTTCTGAATCTACCCACTTGGATGTATCTTGAGTGGCGATAATTTTGCGATGTTGCCAAATCGAATTATAAATCAGAAAATAAAGTAAATTACAGAATAGTTAATAAAACAGCTTGTGGGCTTATTTATGTAACTGGTTATAGCGTATGAAATAACATGTATAATTCCATATTATTTGATATTGTTATAATGGGAAAGGCAAGGGTACATAATTCAAATATAAAATAAAATACAGGGTGGTCCATTTAAAAAACATAAGTTTGTTCCAGACTGAAAGTTATTAAACATTCTGTTTATTTCAAACTAACTTTAAAATATAGTTTAATGTTGCCTACCGGGATAGACAACACTTATCGTGATCAATTTTTTCTTTTTAGTTAGCTATTTAATCAAAACTTGTAAGTAATTGGTAATTCTAATTCTAGAAGAGAAACAATATTTATTTGGTTTCTTCATTTTATTCGAATTAACTATTTTGATAATTTTTTTTTTAATTCTAGTTTCTGATAATAAATCACTTAAATCAAAACATTCTAATTTTGAGTCTAAAAACCTATATATTTATTGAGTTTATTCCTATGGTATTGTCTGACAATTTTGAACCTCATCTAAAATAAGTAAATTGATAATTATTAATGATATAATTTTATGATATGTTTTAATATCTAATCGTTAAGTTTCGTTAAATTATTATTTATATTAAGGAAGATATGTTAGCACAGGCCGGAAGTACGGAAGACCATTTTCCATCTGACAAACATATCAAACTGTCGTTTGAATTCGTTGAAAAACCATCGTTACAAATAATGTTCAATTCATCTCCTGGATCATAAGCAAACTTTGTTGGTGAAATAAATCCATTTTTGGGTTCCCCAATATATGAACATTTGGGTCTACCTAAAATAAAAATTATTTGATGAGTGAGCATAAATATAGAGCATTAAAAAGAATTTGTATTTGTCCTGCGACGGATCTATTAAAAAAAAACTTACAAAATGGAGGAGGATGAGACCAAAACCCAGTTTCAGTACATATGATGCTGGCTTCCCCTTCCAAATGATGTGCTCCAGTACAAGCAAATTGTACTAAACTTCCAACTGCATATCTACCACCATCCATTCCTGGAGCTTCAGATTGGATTAAGTGACCATTCAATGGTAAAACTGGTGGTGGGCACTGTATAGCTGAAATAGTAAATAGTAAAATCTGTAAATCTTCTTAAATCGTATTTCCCGTAATTATTTAAAAATTAAATTAAAAGTATTAGAAATACTTACGAGTACACACTGGCAATGGTCCTGACCAATTACCGCTGAGTTCACATTCAATACCAGGAGGTCCCAATAACTTATAACCCCAAGCACAGCTAAATACTGATCTTCCACCATAACTATTATTATGTTCCTCAACTTGTAGATGTGGCTCTCCGAGCTTCTCTGGTGTATCCAGTGGAGGACATTTTACTAAATCACATTTTGGAACTGGAGCCGACCATTTACCTAAAAGAGTTTTTAGATGTTTTAACCTTTACTATACACAACACAATTTTTATTTTCTTTTCTTTATTGTTAAATTAAAAATACCTGAAGCTTGGCACGTCAAATTGGCCTCTCCTGAAACAATGAAACCCATAGGACATTGAAATATTGCTTTATGTCCTAATCTTGTGCCCTCGACTCTTACGCTAAGATGCATTCTTGTGACAGAAATTGGTTCGCAGTGGACAGCTAAAAAGAAGAAATAAACAGTTCAAATTCTATATTTTACAATGTTTTATTTTAAAAATGAACTATAAAAATATGTTAATATTTTGTAAATCTTAGATGATATTGTCAAGAGTAATATACTAAGACCTTGATAATAGTCAGCTATTTTTGTTGAATCTAAATCTCGAGAATATTTTAATATCAATTTGATTCTACATAATTTTTGGTATTAATAACATGATTAGAACCCAAGAGCTTTAGCTCGAGGGCTTTTAATTTATTTTAAGTGAACTTAAATAGTATCATTCCCCTGAATTATATATATTTTAAAGGTTTTTGGTTAATTATTTTGAATAACTCATAGACTAGAGAACAACTTTATTCTAGAATAGCAGGTTACAAAATAAGAACGTGATATCAACGTACATTAGGTTTTTATAATAATGCGTTGGAAAAATATTAAGATATAAAAGATAAATGCTGGTAAAAATACGAGTTAGTAATATTAATAGATAAGTTATGATAAAAATAATATTCAACAAAATATGACTTTATCAAACAATGATGCACTTCACAGATAAATGCCGGGAATCCCTGACACATCAGTATGCCGGTTCTTATCAGGTAAAACGAAAGGGAAAGCTACCAGTGGTGTAGGTATTCCTTAACTCCTGTCTGAAGCTGCTCGTGATTACGATCACTTCATTCAGAGATAATGTGCTATCCCGGTTGTTAGTTGGTTTTACCCCAGTATAAAGACCAATACAGTAGCGACAGATCATTTTTTATGAGGGGTCCATATTTTTCTGCGCATGTCCGAAAATAAGCGACAAAAACGTCAACGTCAATAGTGTCAATGCGATGTAAATATGTCATTATTTTTGTTTGTTTGCAGTGCATATTTTGAGACATTTTTATTATTTTAGTTTTTCATTTATTGTGTGATAATTTTGAAATGGCTTCTGCACCTGATCAGAAACGAAAGAGATGTGTCTATCGCCCTTGTCCATCTCAAACAGAGTAAACAGACAAAGGGACAAGTTATTTTGCATTTCCCATGGAGCCAGAAAGGTATGTCTTAAGAAAATACTTTCAATTTTTATATTTGAAAACCAAATATTTATTTGACAACCAAATATCTATTATTTAAATGTCTTGAGGACAATTTTTACAATTTCAACAAAAATAATGTAAAAAATATATAATTTCTGAACTACCGTCAATCTAAACATTTGTTATCAACTTTTCTATATTTTAGGGCCAACATGTGGTTAAGAGCTTGTAATAGGGAAGATTTGAGAAACATAGATGTGAACAGTCTTCATCGGAATTACAGGTTGTGTGAGAAACATTTTGAGAAGAATTGTTTTTCTAAAACGTTGAACCGTAAACGTTTATTGCCTACTGCTGTTCCCACATTTTTTATCCATCTAGGTCATCAGCCAAATGTCTATCTTCTCCCTAGTACATCGACCAAGTGCTTCCTCTGTTGAGACTATCATTGAACATGATTGAGACATTTTTGAAAGCGTACCATGTGCAACCTTTGGACATTCTTAATCAAAAATCCTACCTCCAAATTATTATAATGAATTAGATGTTCTTTGATTCACTATGTCCATTGATTAAAAATGTTCTGATTGACTACATCTAATCAAAATATATATGTATTTCTTGTAAAGTAGCAAAAAGAAAACAAAAAAATGTATTTTGTGGTGTTATTTTAACTGTTTTTTAATTTTTGATTTGTTTCATTTATACAATATTTAAGCACTTAAACAATAATATATAATCTTATAAACAGTTGTATGATATATACATTAGGGAAATTAGGACAAGGATGTTTAAATTCTATTTCTTTCATAATATCAAAAAAAGCTATGCGATATACCAGACATTACACAGGTATTGCTAAAAATAGATATAACATTTTTTTATAATTTAAATATATAGATAATAAACTTTTCATTTGGAGTTTTTAGGCCTCCATAAGTGCTTTATTTGCAATCATATGTTAAAATCTATGAACTATCCAAATCTTCACATACTTTTAAAAATTTAATAAATGTATCACATCCATGTATGCCTAAAGCTTTTTTGATCAAATAGCCACAAACATATTTAACTGGATTTTGAACTATTATATCTTCTGTCCTGTAGCTGTAATTAGGAAGAAAAACAGCTTCTCGAATGTTTTTATTTATTTCAGGATACAGAGAGACAATATTTTTTACATCTAATTGTAGCAAGTGCTTGTCCAGGTCTTCATTACAATTCATGGAATTGCAATGAAGATAATTTTGACAAAAAAATTTTTAAATGCCCTTTCGAATTGTACAGGTGTTGGATTAATTAAATTCCCACCCTGTTGCCTAATGGACCCAACAAATTTTTCTAGACAGTCACTATTGATTCTTCTAGCCATTAAATATTTAAATCCCGCAGCAGATAACCTTTCCCATACAAATTTTAAACCATAAAATCGTTAAATATAAACATCTAATTTTTATGATGTGACGTTAATAGTATTTAATTATATACATAGGTAATATAAGCAATTGGGCAGCATTGTGCTTAACGGGTGACTTACAACAGGCATTTGCTAAAACTCATCTGAAGTCAAAAATTTGTACGTAGGAACAAAAATTGAAATAAAATAATTCTTGTATTGTAAATTCATTAAAAACTTACTAATTTGTAATTGTGTGTTTTAATAAATATTATTGTTATATGTTGTTTCACTTCTAAAAAGATACCTACATAACCTCATTTTAAATAAAAAAATAAGGTGCTGAGTTAATTTATTAGTGCCAGGAAGAAACCAAAAAATGTTTGACACATTTCATACAATGAATGGCATACAAAAGTAATTTATTTTAATCTAATGATAAAATTTTAAAATTGGCACATCTAGATTTTCAACGGAACTCATTTATTTAAGTTACACAATATTTTGATTAATTTATTTGCCTAGAATACATTAAAATGTTATATGTACATGTTTTAATTTCTTTCTAAGTGTACATCGCTAATTTGCAATTTTAGAGTTTACTTTTCTCCGTCTAGAAATAAGCGACAAAAACGTCAACTGTCATTGAAAATCTGACCACCCCGACATCAAAGAAGCCGACGCAATCTGTCGCTACTGTATTGTTCTTTATACTGGGGTTTTACTTTCCAACTAGTAGTTTGAGTAAACTTCTTATAGAGTCCCGGTTTCGGTCCTAAAAGTCACAACGAACCTCTCCTCGCATTCTCTGCAACGGTATATGCAATTTTGCTTTGCCGAAGCATTCAATTACATTTGATTGTAAATACCGATTAGACAGTTCAACAGTTAATTTTTCCTACGACCTTACATATTATTTTCTGTAGAAAAATAATAAATAGCATTTTTAGTTTGTTTAACGATTAAACTGTTAAATAATCAATTTTTCCTGCGTCCGTAAAAATAGTCTGATAGTAAATTTTTCCTACGACCGAATTAATATTTCTCCTGAACGGTACCTCAAGCGCGGTTCCATATAAATTTGGTTAAGATCTGATGATGCGATCCCTGGTGTCGGATTTTTAAAATTACTTCATCTAATTCTAAATTGTCCTCAGATCCCTTCTATGTTTCTAAAGTAGGTTATGATTGAGAAAGTTAGAAATACGAGTCGTGTCCATGACAATTTCACACGCCTCTGAATGGAATTCAAACCGTCATTTAAAAAATAAGAATTTTAAGCTCCTATACGTATTTTCCATGGGCTACTTATTTTTTTGGATAATAGGTATTAAAAGGTTTGAAAAGAGAATAGAAAAAAATTACAATTCAAATTAATTTACAACATACCTGTTACAACAAGAGTTATGCTGTTCGTTATTCCTCGAGGAGTGGCACATGTGAAAGTTCCAGAATCTTGCGGTTTGGCATAGTAAATTGACAATCTGTACTTCCAGTCTCTTTCTTCTGATGCAATAGCCCAACCTTTAATAAATAAATATTTGTTTATTTTAAGCTATTGAAATTGATATCGTCTGTAAAAGGTCTTTACAAAAACATACCACATATTCCTTAGACCAAAATAAGTCGATTTAAGTAAAATTACCTTGGTACAAAGTTGCTTCGTTTGGGGTACAGAGGGCCTTGAAGTTACAATTTTTAAATCGTTTTTCCCATATAAATTTAAAACGGCATATGCGATTTTGGTGAAATTTGGTAAATTGGTAGAGTTTTATGTGGCAAAAAAAAATGGTATTAAAATTTTGTCCGATAATAATACATAGGCGTAGAACTTGATTTTTTAAATAATTGCACCTTTAAATATTCTACGCCAATGGAAGAAAAGGAGTTTGAGTATGAAATTTAGATTGGGCAACTCATTTACTTTAAAAAAGGTACTCTTGATAAGACTCGATTACTCTCATGGTTTTAACGAAATTTGCATTTTAGTAATTTTAGAACATAAACAATAATTATTAAAATACAAACTTTGTCAAAACCATGAGAGTAAATCGAGTGTTATCAAGGGTACTTTTTTGTAGTAAATGAGTACCCAATCCAAATTTCATACTCAAACCCCTTTTTTGCCATTGGCGTAGAATTTTTAAAGGTGTAATTATTTAAAAAATCAGGTTCTACGCCTATGTATTATTATCGGACAAAATTTTATACGATGAAAAACATAAAAATGTACTTTTTTCATATCTTCTTCAACACCTCTAATCGAGACTTTTAACAAAAATACTCGATTCTTGCCATGTACGATTTTTTGAGGAATATTAATTATTTGCCTGCAATACGTATACAAAAGCATGTATTGTTGGTTTCCATAGTTCCATCTAAATTAATATATTGTCAAGTTTTAACACCTAATCTCTTGTTAACGATTGAAAGTGTTCTATCTGACTCAATAATTAAAAAAACAAATGCGTGGTTTATTAATATGGCTGTACAATATACCAATGCAGAATATACCGATATGTTACTGACATTAGGATTTTGTGAAGGAAATGCTCGAGAGAGTGTCAGGGTGTACTCTGAAAGGTTTCCAAATCGTCGTGTACCTATCCACCCAACTTCTGCTGATGTTGAGAGACGTCTTCGGGAGACCGGTTCCTTTGCTCCCAACACTGTTGATAATGGAAGAGAACGTTCTGTAAGGATTCCTGAAGTTGAAGAAGACGTTTTAGAACGTGTTGAAGAAAATCCAGAATTAAACACCAGACGAATTGGAAGGGAACTAGGAGTAAGTAAAGATGTCGTTCATAAAGTGCTTAGAGAACAATAGCTATATCCATACCATAAGAAGCCAGTACAAGAATTATTAGTCCATGATCCTCAAATTTGTTTGGGTTTTTGTCGATTTGTTAATATGCAAAGAGAAAGAGATCCAAACTTTGTCAAGAAGGTTCTCTTTACCGATGAAGCGGGTTTTACAAGAAGATGTATAACTAATACCTATAATGAACATGTTTATGCCGTTGAAAATCCGCATGCAATAAACGTAAACCATTTTTAGCACGAATTCAAAATTAATGTGTGGGCTGGAATAATTGGTAATTTCATTGTTGGTCCTGTCATACTTCCACGAAGATTAACTGGAGAAAATTATTTGGATTTTCTACAAAATACGTTGCCCAAATTGTTAGAAGATTTACCTCCAACTTCGGAGAGATATGTGGTTTATGCAAGATGGAGCTTTTCTTTAAACGTTAGAAACCACTTGAATGAACAATATCCACACAAATGAATAGGCAGAGGTAATGACGCATCTGTAAACTGGCCACCACGTTCCTTAGACCTAACACTGATGGATTACTTTTTATGGGGACATCTGAAATCCACAGTTTACAGGGAACCTGTAGAAAATGAGGATCAACTCTGGCAACGTATTCAAGATGCGATAAACAATCTTAGAGGTGATGAAGAAGTTATGGAAAGGATACATTTTAATTTTATTCGACGTATAAATCTTTGTATGCGTGAAAATGGTGAACATTTTGAACAATTTTTGTAAAATCTCTATTTTGATTATGTTGTAAATAAATATTTTTGTGAAACCTATACACTCTAAATTATTAAAACAGAAATTTAGCGAAAACCATGAGAGTAATCGAGTCTTATCAAGAGTACCTTTTTTAAAGTAAATGAGTTGCGCAATCTAAATTTCATACTCAAACTCCTTTTCTTCCATTGGCGTATAATTTTTAAAGGTGCAATTATTTAAAAAATCAAGTTCTACGCCTAAGTATTATTATCGGACAAAATTTTAATACCATTTTTTTTGCAACATAAAACTCTACCAATATACCAAATTTCAGCAAAATCGCATATGACGTTTTAAATTTATATGGGAAAAACGATTTAAAAATTGTAACTTCAAGGCCCTCTGGAGCCCAAACGAAGCAACTTTGTACTAAAGTAATTTTACTTAAACCGACTTATTTTGATCTAAGGAATATGTGGTATGTTTTTGTAAAGACCTTTTACAGACACCCTGTATATTTATTGCAAAACAACGCACGGTTTTAAATTCTTATTTCACCTTATTATTTGTCAAAACTTTATCAAATTTTCAATGTTATTGAACTCCCTGTATGTTTGACAATAGAAGTTTACAAGGAGAGAAAGTTAATTTTAGAATACTTTTCGTTCGTCTCGCTTTTTTTTTTAATGAATACTTTTATCTATACCATTTTTACAAATTACCTGTGAGGTATTGGCCAAGCGGTGACGTCCAGGTCCAATCAGGAGATCCTAATCTCCGTGAGAAAATACATTCAAAATGAAGGGTTGAACCTGGAAAAACTGCTAGTTCTCCGCCAGGTTCTGCTGATGCTGAACCAGATGGTATTCTGATTAAAATTGATGGAGGTGCATCTTCTGTAAAACATAATAAAAAATAATGATGGTTTTTAATAAATACCTGGCTAGTTTTTTATACAAAGTGTCAATTTGAAAACGAACAGCATTTAATATTGCCACTACTAATGATAGTATGAAAATTTGGCGAAATATGTTAATTTGGCCCGCAAGGCACCTACTCAAGGGTTTAAAAACATAATATTACTCAATTACAGATATGTCATCAACACGGTTGTCAATAAGGAACTTAAAATTCTATTATTTAAATTATTGATTGCCATTAATAAACATAAATTATATAAAATAAAATATAAATTAGACAGACATGTGTTACACAAAAGTATAAAATATTGAAATGGTTTATCTCAGTGGCGGCTCGTAATTAAAGACATTGGGTTTTATGCAAGATTCTGCCCCATTTTTTTTTACTTTTAATTTTTCAGAATATTTTCGACTTTTAATTTTTGAGATTTTTTTAATCAACACTGAAATGTGTAGAAGAGTCCCCCATCTGAACATTTTTTGTTATCTCAAAATTTATTTTATCAACACTGACATGTGTAGAAGAGTCCCCCATCTGAACATTTTTTGTTTTCTCAAAATTTATTAATTTTTTATCAAACATTTTTATAAAAATTTTTCGACTTTATTTTTGAGAATTATTTCGATTTTTAATTTTTGATATTTTTTCATCAACACTGAAATGTGTAGAAGACTCCCTCCTCTGAACATTTTTTGTTATCTCAAAATTTATTTCATCAATACTAAAAAAATTTTCGACTTTTAAGAAAGGAGTAGAATTTTTTTATGTTGCTATAAAATTAGCCTAAACTGAGCCTAAAATTATGGCATACTTAAAATGTAAAAAATTCAAAGGCGCTCTGCTAGCTTGATACGTGTAAATTTTTTGTAATTTATAATATCAAAATCTTCTCATCCTGGAGAAATCCCCTTAACTAAACTTAGCGAAATTCTCTACCTACTTTACCAAATGACGCATAACACGTACTGCCTCATTAGTTGCATTTAATTTAATTAAACTTGTAGTCTGAAAAGTTAATAAAGCCACCGCTCACTAAGTACAACTTTTCTTCATTAGTTTCGTTACTAAGTTTCTAAATTAAGGTATAAATTAACAAGGAAAATTTGGATATAGAAATAGGAAGTAGATGAATGTAATATCAACTTTAAAAAAATTAAAGAAGTAATATTAATTCGAAATTCCAAAAATTACTTTCGTAATTGAAAAAGTTGTGAAATTACTTAGCATTTTAAGGCTACCTAATCCCTTTCTCGAAAATGCAAAACAACCTTTTGTAGTTTAATGTGATTGCCTTTTAATTATCGCTCTCAAAGGTTTAGGTATTTAATACAATTTCTAGGTGGTAATGGATTTTTTGATGAGTTCTGAAACACATCTACAAAATATAATTCTGGATTTTGATCCATTTACTTGCCAGTTCCTATTAAAAAGTAGGTATTCCTAAATCCATTTGCACAATAAATTTGGGCTTCAGTTATACAGGGTGATACCAAACCGTTGGCAATCTTTTAGATACATATTGGGAGAACGAGAGAAAATGAAAATTTAAATACCATATTTCTCACAAATAAAAAATAAATTACACAACACATTTATAGAGTTAAAGTTATCGTATTTGTTGTGAATATTATAGAAGTATATATTTACCTGTAAAATTGGTTAGAAGTGTAGTAGGTACACATGAGGGAAGTCTGGAAGACCATTGCCCGTTTTGGCATTGAGGAGTGGCAGTGCCTAATAGTTTGTACAGTCCCAATTCTTTACATCTCGTATGTAGTTTAGCACCATGTGGAAATGTCCATCCTGGAGTCTACAATATAAAGTATATAATAACAAAAACTACGTTTTTTTTTATGTCTTACGTGTATGGAAACGTTTCGAAAAGTAACTAACAGATGTGGGTTGATGTACTCAAGCTTACAATTCCTGAATAATGGTTGAAATCGTCCATTATCTGCAACAAAATTGGTAAAATACTAAAAATATTAAAGATAAAACCTTCGACTCTGCTTTGCTTGTGAGTAAATAATGCTCATGCCATCTATAACTAGCAACGTTGATATTGTTTTTTCTCTTGCTTGTGCGAGCTCTGTTTACTCTTCACTCTAATACAAGCATAGCAGGAAGGTTTGAAGTTTGATCTTGTCAGCACTGAATACAGAGTGTCCGGAAATGATGAGCAAAATATTTATGGGTTGATTCTACTCGAAAAAATAATACTAAAGTTCATATATAGCGTTTCTTAGAAAACTCAAAAATAGCGTAATTACAGTTTGTCAAAAAAATATAATAACTTTTTTTTAGTTTAATAATAATAATTTGTTCCTCTAAGATTTTTAATATTTGAAAATACTTCCCTCTTTTTTAAATTAGATAGAAATTCTAATTTTATTGGACAGTTCCTTTATTTTCCCAAACAGTAAATATCTTTCAAATCAGTTACCTTTAACTCTAATTTTAGTTTGGTTAGTTAAGTTTGGTGCACTTACCTTGTTGATCAATGCACAAGGGTCCTACCCATTGGCCAGCTATACATTTAATTTTACATAGTCGTTGTTCACCAAGAGGTCCAATAGACCCTGAAAATTTAACTTCGCGCACGTGGTTGAAATCCTTTTTGATTCTCACCTCACCTGCTTCAGTTTCTGATCCATTTAAGGCTAATTGAGGAGGAGAACAGGAGTCGAACGAAAAATCTGTAAAATAATTTAATGGAGAATGGAAAATAGTTTTATATTTCATGAGAATTAATAAATAAGGGCCGGTTTTTTAATGTAATGTAACTTGGAGTTTAACTAACGTTTACTTGAATATTTACCTCTAGTTAAAATAAGGAGCGTTCTTCAATGCAAATCGCACGTCTTTAAAGTTTAGTTATTAAAAATTTGGTTATTTTGTCGTATCTTGTGTTTTAATTATTTTATGCTGATTTAAAGGGGAAAATAAGGACAAAAACAACATTACTACTAGGTGTAAATTTAAACAAATTCTATTTTTATAAGTTAACCTGCCTTCTTTGACATAAACTCTCAATATGTATATTATTAATTTTAAACCCAAAAAATGGTTTATTTTTATTCGTTTTCTTTTCATAACTGGTGATATAATGAATTTTTCCAAACTATGAAAATGCTTACGTCAGGAAGATTATTTTGACACTTTATATGTCAAAATTAGAAAAAATATTGTATGTTACACGTTACGAAATGCCTTATTTTATGTAACTCGTTCATATTGCGGTACTTCGCTCTGCTCGTCCCTCAAATATTTACTAGTTTTATAAAATAAGACATTTTGTAAATGGATATAAAAGCGTTTATTTAAACAAGTGATTTTTTCAATTAAAGGTAATCCGTATACTTTAATGAATTATTCTTAAACTTAACTTTTCAAACGATTTATTTCAGTGCTTTTTTTAAACCCAACGAAATTATTATAATGTATCAAATTAAACAATTAAAAAGTAAATATTTTCAGGCCATATCGGTAATAACAAATTTTTATTGGCTGCAAATCAACATTAAATTAATCAGTCAAACACATAAACGGATTTGTTAGAATATCCACCCCTTACAAAATGAAATATTAGTTTTGTTATTATTACAATTAAAAATCCTTACCATCTTGGGGTAATTTTGTATAAATCGGCAGTAGAAATGTTTTCAAAATTAGGAAGATCCTTAAAATTTTGGTCAACAACCGCATTACAAACACACCGACACACGTTATTTTTTAAACACACGGCTTTTAAATACATCACAACACTATGATGTCAATATACTAAAGTCTCATTTAGGAGCTGATATTATATATTCAACCCTCACAGCTTCCAATTGCTATTGGGGGTTGATTTCGCTCAAATCTCATTATACCGTGTTTCTAAACAGCTGATACGGATTGACGCAAGCGTTTACAGCGACTTACCCGTAATTCCTTTTCCTGCAGGAACAAGGATAAAGGATAATCGGAATTCCACACGGACTGTTTCACAGAGCTACCGATAACCATTAAATCTGGTTATTTTCATTTTATCAAAAGTTAGGAATAGTTTATAATAAAATTAGATCGCGATAGAGGAGAATTATAATAATCACACCTATATAAAAATAAAAAAAAATAATAGTTTATTCAAAAAAGTTTACAGATTGTTTGGTATACATTTTTTTTAATAAAGAATAAACTGAACTTTGTCGTAGGCTCCTTAAAACCATATGAGGTCGTGCACGAGCTAATGACTAAGTTTAGTATCTATAACTATTTTAGTAATCAATGCAGAGAGTAATACTATATACTAAACCTAATATAAAATACAGGTTGTCTGTAAAAGGTCTTTACAAAAACATACCACATATTCCTTAGACCAAAATAAGTCGATTTAAGTAAAATTTTGGGCTCCAGAGGGCCTTGAAGTTACAATTTTTAAATCGTTTTTCCCATATAAATTTAAAACGGCATATGCGATTTTGCTGAAATTTGGTATATTGGTAGAGTTTTATGTGGCAAAAAAAATATTATTAAAATTTTGTCCGATAATAATACATAGGCGTAGAACTTGATTTTTTAAATAATTGCACCTTTTAAAATTCTACGCCAATGGAAGAAAAGGAGTTTGAGTATGAAATTTAGATTGCGCAACTCATTTACTTTAAAAAAGGTACTCTTGATAAGACTCGATTACTCTCATGGTTTTCGCTAAATTTCTGTTTTAATAATTTGGAGTGTATAGGTTTCACAAAAATATTTATTTACAACATAATCAAAATAGAGATTTTACAAAAATTGTTCAAAATGTTCACCGTTTTCACGCATACAAAGATTTATACGTCGAAGAAAATTAAAATGTATCCTTTCCATAACTTCTTCATCACCTCTAAGATTGTTTATTGCATCTTGAATACGTTGCCAGAGTTGTTCTTCATTTTCTACAGGTTCCCTGTAAACTGTGAATTTCAGATGTCCCCATAAAAAGGAATCCATCGGTGTTAGGTCTGGGGAACGTGGTGACCAGTTTACAGGTGCGTCATTACCTCTGCCTATCCATTTGTGTGGATATTGTTCATTCAAGTGGTTTCTAAAGTTTAAAGAAAAATGTGCTCCATCTTGCATAAATCACATATCTCTCCGAAGTTGGAGAGGTAAATCTTCTAACAATTCTGGCAACGTATTTTGTAGAAAATCCAAATAATTTTCTCCAGTTAATCTTCGTGGAAGTATGACAGGACCAACAATGAAATTACCAATTATTCCAGCCCACACATTAATTTTGAATTCGTGCTGAAAATGGTTTACATTTATTGCATGCGGATTTTCAACGGCATAAACATGTTCATTATGGGTATTAGTTATACCTCTTCTTGTAAAACCCGCTTCATCGGTAAAAAGAACCTTCTTGACAAAGTTTGGATCTCTTTCTCTTTGCATATTAACAAATCGACAAAAACCCAAACGAATTAGAGGATCATGGACTAATAATTCTTGTACTGGCTTCTTATGGTATGGATATAGCAATTGTTCTCTAAGCACTTTATATGAACGACATCTTTACTTACTCCTAGTTCCCTTCCAATTCGTCTGGTGCTTAATTCTGGATCTTCTTCTACACGTTCTAAAATGTCTTCTTCAACTTCAGGAATCCTTACAAAACGTTCTCTTCCATTATCAACAGTGTTGGGAGCAAAGGAACCGGTCTCCCGAAGATGTCTCTCAACAGCAGCAAAAGTTGGGTGGCTAGGTACACGACGATTTGGAAACCTTTCAGAGTACACCCTGGCACTCTCTCGAGCATTTCCTTCACAAAATCCTAATGTCAGTAACATATCGGTATATTCTGCATTGGTATATTGTACAGCTATGTTAATAATTGATTATTAATAATTAATTATTGAGTCAGATAGAACACTTTTCTTCCATTGGCGTAGAATTTTTAAAGGTGCAATTATTTAAAAAATAAAGTTCTACGCCTATGTATTATTATCGGATAAAATTTTAATACCATTTTTTTGTCACATAAAACTCTACCAATATACCAAATTTCAGCAAAATCTCATATGCCGTTTTAAATTTATATGGGAAAAACGATTTAAAAATTGTAACTTCAATGCCCTCAGGAGCCCAAACGAAGCAACTTTGTACTAAGATAATTTTACTTAAATCGACTTATTTTGGTCTAAGGAATATGTGGTATGTTCTTGTAAAGACCTTTTACAGACACCAGGGAAAAATCATATACAAAAACAATTTTAATAAAAGGAATAATTTAAATACACTTAAATAACGCTAATGTACATAAAAATCTAACATAAAAAAATATAAATCATATTCAAAAAACAATTTTATTACTAGTAATAATTTAAATTGTAGTATGTATGTCTTTCCTCTCACAATTTAATAGAAACTTCTTAAAAATGTTTTTATCAGCTTGGTTGAATTTATGGTTGTTAAATAAATTTTATAAATATTTGCTAAAAAGTTGTATATTCTTCCAGACAGATATGTAACATATCTTTGACCCATAAATTTTTTACTAGCCTCTGTAATTACATAATTATTTAATTTATTTCTGGTAGTATTAAGGGGTTTTCTCGCCACAGAGAAAACGGTTCCTTACGAATGGCGCTGGTTATGGGCGGTTCTCGAGCGCCAGATTTTTGGTGATGGTTTACTCCACAAACTTTCGAAACAGCGTCGAAAGTACTCGGGTAGCTACAGATGGAGATGAAAAATTGCAGGGGTCAAAGGTCACTTAGACACAGGTAATAGTAGGCCACACAAGTAATGGGCTTTAATAGTTGCTTGGGCTGGTACAGAACTTATCACTAGCTGAAATACAAGGGGGAAATAAAGTATGGAATTAGTAACCAGTAATACGGCAAGTTAACATTGACACATATATTATTTTGAACTATTTACAACAAAAAAAAAATTATATATTTCAACGCCCACCCTATTTGTGGTTGTGGTGATAGTCAATATAACCCTGAACAAAAAAAAATAAAGAAACAGAACGGACGGTATTGAATCCCGACTAGTCTCAATCAGACGTCAAAATTGAATTAAAATAAAATTAATGTTTCGGTCGCAGAAAAAAATTGTTATACTCGGTAATTAAACTTAAACATAATTTCCCATTGTAAGAACGGTCGTAGCAAAAATTAACTATTTAACTGTTGTATCGGGAATTAAACTAAAATGTAGGTATTTTACTATTTCGGCAAGAAAAAATTAACTAAACGTTCATAGAGAGTGCGAGGGGACAGGGACGCGAAAGAATTACTTATAGTAAATATACGGAAAGGAAAAAAAATAAATTTATACCCGGGGTAGCCTATTATCCCAGAATGAGCTGATCGTCATCACGAGCTCGCTCAGACAGGGTAATGAAGCTAGCTATTTAAGATTTCTGTAAGTTGCAATTTGCACGAAAAAATAAAGAATACAAACGGAATAAGAAAACTAACACGGATAGCACCTAATCCAAGAATGAACTGATCGTCATCACGAGCCCGTTCAGACAGGGACAGGATGCTATTTAAGATTAATTAAATTTACGGTAAAAGAATAAACAAACTATTAAAAGAGGGAAAACGTCTCCTCGAAAACTCCGTTTATAAATATTCCCAACTTAGTTACAACGCGGTACTTACTAAACAAAAGTATTTATCAATAAAATCAAATTTAATTCCCGATTTAACCTACCAAAAATAAAAAAATTAATTTCTTAGTACAGACTAACGATCAAAAGTCTAAATCCCGGTATTACAATATTAAAGAACTAAATCCTATAATTTATTATTTAAATCAAATTCTATTCCCTTTAAAGAAACGGTATTATATTTGCCAAGAAATAAATTCTAATATTTATTAATGAAATCAAATTAAATATTTTAACTCAACACTATAAAAAACGATATTATATTTGCTAAGAAATAAATTCTAATATTTATTAATGGAATCAAATCTTTTATCTCAACACTGAATTAAAATGTTCCTATTTCTAAAAGATAATTCGGTTTTTAAATAAAATACGGTCTCAATATAAAACGTAAAAAGCGGAACAAGGTTTTTTTACCTAACGGATTTATAAACACGAGAAAGAAAAGAAAATATCGGCGGTGGACTGATTTGAGAATGCGGCTATTATTCTGAACTGCTGAAGATTAACTATTATTCGGAACTAAAAATCTTAATTGAATCTCGGGCCTGGTTCAACTGTCGATTCCCTTTCCAAATCAGAGACCCCACCAACGCCAGTCCCACCGCGCATCGATATTTTGATCGGCGTTGCGCATCGGTCTAAGCTCAGGACCAAAATTAAAATAAACTGATTGAGGAAAAATTGACTTCATTCTGGTTTTTAGGAAAGTGCGGTTTTTGTATTTAGCATATATATATAACTGTCTAATATCCATCACTTTACTTACAATAAACAAAGAATCTGAAGGGTAAGTCCAATTTTTATTTAAAATGATTTTTAAATTTTTTTTTTGTAAAACATTTTTTTTCAGATGGATTTGAAGAATTCCGCCCCATTCAAGTATACCATAATTTAACATCGACTAAACAAGATAATAATAAATTATTTTCAAATGACGAACATCTAGACATGTTTTAAGATATTTAAATATTGAAAGAATGCATCTTAAAGATCCAGCAATATCTTTGAGATGGCATTCCACTTAAGATGCGAGTCTAGTTTTATTCCTAAATATTTAATTTCATTCACTGACCTAATAGTTGCATTTTGATGGTTTTGAATCCGTATTTCATTAAAGGGTGGTAAGGAGGATTTATAACTACAAAAAGGAATAAAATGGGTTTTCTCAAAATTACCAGTTAATTTCTTATGATTAAACCAGTTAATAAGTTTACCTAAATCTGTTTCTGTTTTTCT